GATAGAATTTTCATACACTTAATTCCTTTTATTATCTTGAAGAGAGAAAGAACAAAGAATTGAGCAGAATAACACAAATTCGTTCCATTTCGTAAAATTTTCATCAGCTACCAAAAACCTCGCGAAGTAAAATGAATCCACATATTTTATTTGTTCGTACTCTCTTCAAGAGATGTAAATAAAATACCTGACTAATGAGCTAACAGTTTTAATACATGAATGCACTATAGTTAAATGATGTTAATCGGTAATTTACAACAATTTCAAGATTATTTACTATGATTTTTCAATGAGTGATATTTCTATCAACAGTTTAGATGTTGAGTTACTACGGAATGGTAAAAGATCTTACGGGAAAAACATTACAAGATGAAACTGAGAGCTTAATTAAAGATGAGGTCACATCTGTTAATTTAAATATTTTATAGTTAAGACCGTACATTTCCTTAGAAAATGATCCTTTAGATATTCCATGGTAATTTATAGTGAAATGTATTTTATTCAAATTTATGGATCATAGTAATGGAAAATAATCAATTTGACAGTAATACATGAAAATTTTTGATGTTTCAAAGAATAATTCATGATTAAAGAGAGCGGCTAACAGTTGACAAGGAATAAAATAATCTTTACAAATGATTCAACCTTTTAAGACGAATATTAAAAGATGAATTATGGAGAAAATGGATGCTAAAGTAACTGATTATCAATAAACTGGGGAAATGGACACAGAGATTCGAGTGAACTAACTTTAACTACTTACAAGTAGTAAAAGAACAATAGGATTCATTAAGGACTTTTATTAATTTACAGAGATGGCTTGAAGGGTAATTACACTTGTTTGTTCTAAATAGGGAAACTCCAAGTATTTGAGCAGAGACCACCTACTATATAAAGCATCGATTTGTCATCCATAAATGTTTACTGTGATATCTACTTAATTAGATTTATAAAAATCTGACTTCTGTAAGTTGATTTACTTACAATATTATTATTTGAGCAATTACATAATGCCTAAACATCTAAGGTTTATCAACAACAAAAAATAAATCCACTTTTACAAACTTAAGACGATTTGAGCAAAGAAACTTAATGTATAGATACTGATTATACGAATTGGATTTAAATTTATGTTTTAATATTTTGATGCAACGACATAACAGTTACCTTGTAGTATCGGGGCATAACATAGAACCGGGACAGGTAGGTAACCATCCGAAAGCAACAGCGATCTCACACACTCCCAGCCAGACTATTAGCCGTGGGGCATCAAACTCGACATGGAACAAACGACCACCATGTAATAGTTACCACAGTAGTCAACCAAGATGTATGTATTGCAGGCGGTTTGGCAGGCGTGCCTGGAGATGTGGACACAACCGACCTCGTAATCCAGGTGAGCCACATATTTATCACTTATCTTCATGTCATGTTAATCACATCAGCCCCACCACCCTCAAAGGTAGAGTACAAGGTGTGGAGATTGACATATTGCTAGACACTGGAGCCTCCGTATCCCTGATTAAGGAAGCGTTCTTAAAGAGACTACACCATAAAGTACAGCAAAAACGATGCTCCTCAGCATTAATAACAGCTAGTGGGGACCCTCTTAAAGTGTGTTATAAGACAGAGTTAGACTTAACAATGGAGAGATGTTCGGTTCGCCATGAGTTTTTAGTTCGCCCTACATTAACCTGGGACATGATATTAGGCGTAGACTTTATGTTAAAACACCAAGTATCTATATTTATGGATAGATCAGAAGCGAAAATCGGCGAGGCTATAGTGCACCTGCACCACCATGAGAGGACGACAAAATCTATAGCCCTTGTGGGGATTTCAGACCTCGTACGTCAGATACATAACAATCAATTAATCACAGAGAATGATCGTCGCACAACGATTGCCGTGCTCCAGCAGTTTAGTTCTGTGTTTGAAGAAGGCATTTCCGGAAATCGGACCACTACAGTGCAACACTCCATCTTCACAGGCGACCATATGCCACTTCGACAGCCACCTCGTAAGGTACCAGTGCACTACCAACCGCAACTGGACGCAATGATAAAAGATATGCTAGATAAAAAGATCATAGTTCCTTCGTCATCTCCATGGGCATCACCTATTGTCTTAGTGAAAAAGAAAGACTCCTCTCTACGACTCTGCGTGGACTATCGACGCCTTAATGCTATCACTAAACGTGACTCTTTTCCACTCCCACGGATCGATACCACGCTAGATGCCTTGAAGGGCGCATGTTGGTTTTCGACTTTGGATCTAGCATCTGGGTATTGGCAAGTAGAGGTCCGACCGCAAGTTAAAAAAAACGGCATTTATAGTACCAAATGGTCTATATGAATTCCAAGTGATGCCCTTTGGTTTAACGAATGCCCCGGCTACCTTCCAAAGACTAATGCAAGCAGTGTTACAAGACATAGTACCCAACAAATGCCTGATATATCTTGATGACATTATTGTGTATGGCAGCACGCCCGAACAACACAATACCAATTTGAAAGCAGTCCTTCAACGCCTTCAACAACACAATTTAAAAGTAAAACCGTCACGGTTTTACTCTTGTGATTTGTTGCATGATCATCCCGCTCGCTCCAGTGACTGCTGAAAACACGATATCGAGTTGATTCACATATCTTCGCCACCGCGCATCATTTCTCTTCGCTTTGCTTCTTCGATCGTTTTTCTGGATCAACGATTGTATGAAATTCACTTATTCGAAATTTATTCTCGTATTGGACTTATTTAATTCCGTTATCCACTGACGCAATTTAAGTCGACATGTTTATTTCGATAACGATCTACCTGGAGTCAGATTTAGGGTGGCTAAAACGTGTAGATGTTAAAGTCTTAAAAAATTACAAAATCAAGTTGAACCAATGAATATCCATGGAAGTTCGAGTTGATTAGAACGAATCAGGGAAAGTTTGCCCTATGACCTACCCTTTATAACTATTTATTTATCAAAAAGGCAATGATAAATATTCAGTGGTGTGGATAATTAATACAAATCTTGCATGATAGAATGTTTTATGCTGTGCTTTAATTTGCTACAGTAATATAATATAATCATATTTTGTCTACTTTGAATCCGATTTCCTGATTGCATTTTATTGAAGTCTTAGATCAATTAATATTAGTAGTAACACAGAGAACAATCAGTAACAACGTGGAACTTCGTACGTACGTACATCAGTTCGAGTTGCCATACCACATTAGCACAGAGATTCAGTTATCGTTTCAAATCCCATAGTGGTAGAGGTACTGAAAGTATAAGTAGAGATAGGGGACATTAAGGTTTGATGATGTTATTAAAGGAGTATAGTCCAGTGGAATAAATTGGGAAAGAAAATAAAGGACATGAAGAATTCAGAAGATTAGAGTTTGAGAGAACACAAAGAGTGGATGCACCTGCGCCATTGCAAACGATTTTGAGCCATGTCATTCAAGGTCTCTAACCATCGGTTGCTATCGTCTCGCGGTCCCCAACCAGGTAGTCTACACCTACCAACATGACTCAGTCCACTTATCAGTGACTTCATGGATTTGTACCATGTTTTGGTCTGGCCGCCCCTAGCTTTCTTCCAACCTACTCCTACACCATAAAACATCTCACGTCGGGGCAGTCGGTGGTCGGGCATGCGCAACACATGTCCCAGTCATCTCAAATGATTGAGTTTCACTACTTCCTCAATTGATTTTCCATCCTTACCTAGTACCCGTTTCCTAACAACTGAGCTACTTACTCGGTGGTCCCAGGATATACGAGCAATGTTTCGAAGACATCTATGGTCAAATACTAGTAACCTATGAATATCCTCTACTCTTACCGGCCATGTTTCACTACTATAAAGTAGGACGGAACGAACTGCTGCGCAGTAAACACGTCCTTTCGTTGATAGACGGATATCTCGCCTACGCCACAAATGACGCAAGTTGGCAAAAGCTAGTCGAGCCTTTTGTATCCGTGCTGAGATTTCGTCACACACCAAACCACAAGGGCTGATGAGACTTCCGAGATAAGTGGAGCGGTCGACACGCTCAACTACTTCACTCCCTATCACTAGTTTGGGTGGCGGTGCAACCCAATCCTGAAGCAACATCTCGCATTTCGATGGAGAAAATCGCATGCCGAACATGCCTGCATTGTTGCTTAGAATGGTCAGCAGACTCTGCATTTTGTCAGCGTCTTCACCAAATAGAACTATGTCATCGGCATATTCTAAGTCAACAAGTAGATCTCCCGGTAGAAGTTCAACTCCTGGAAATTTAGATGAGGAAAGTGTCATCTCTAAAAGCGCGTCCACGACAAAGTTAAACAAGAATGGAGAGAGTGGACAGCCCTGACGAACACCACAACACAGAGAACACCAATCCAATCACACTTAATGAAGAAGCTCTAGAAGATGTGTAAACTTTCATGCACCTCGGCAGCATCATCGATGGACAAGGGGGATCTGACGTAGATGTAAAAGCAAGGATTGGCAAAACAAGGGCAACATTCCTACAGTTAAAGAACGTATGGAACTCAAAACAACTGTCAATCAACATTAAAGTCAGAATTTTATATGCAAACGTCTATGCAGTATGGAGCCGAAACTTAGAGAACTAATACAACCATCATCAAAAGTGTACAAGTGTTTATAAACAATTATCTACATAAGATACACAATGTCCGTTTGCCGGATACCATCAGCGACAGTCTACTGTGGGAGAGAACAAACCAGCTTCCAGATGAAGAAAAAAGTAGGAAAAGACGATGGAAGGGATGAATAGGAATAGAATGGATAATAACAGGAAATGGTTGCTCAGGACAGAGTTCGATGGAGAATGCTGGTGGGCGGCCTATGTTCCTCCACGAGGGGTAACCGGCGTAAGTGATTCTTAATGACATTCCAAAACTTCAATTAGTAACTGATTAGGTATAATGAATACAAGATAAATAAAACGTTAATATTCATGTGAAAGATTAGTTGAATAAAACTCACTTGGAGATCTTTTTTAGATTACGATAAGTGATTTTTCCAGAATCATCTTCATCGAACAGTTTGAAGGCTCGTACCATTTCCGTGACAGGATCCCTGTCTAAAATCATATCTGTCACTAAAAATTTATATATATACAAACTATATGTAAGGAAAATGATAAATAGGATGGGGCATAGATAAAAATGATAAAATACTAACTTCTACTTCTCAAACCGATAAGTAGCGAAACTTAATCACAATGTACAACTATTAGGATTCCGAGAATTGAAGCTATTAAAATGAATAAGATTCTCCTAACTGCATAGTAATTGATGTAGCAACAAGTGTTCGGAATTTAAAATGGTAATGTAGTTTAAATGAAAGTTTTGATGGAGTGCTTATGGGTAGTCGAACTTCTTTTTCAGATGAAAAATTTATCCCTTGGTTTCCAAGTACGTTATTATTATAAATGATTGTACCTATTAACTTGCAAATAGCTGTGAAGGAAGTAACTAAAAACGATGAATCCATTGCATTTTGAAAGCATCTTCATTTTTGCTTTGTTTAGATTTGTAAGGCGGACCAACTGCATGAAATAAAATTTCTGACCTGATTTGCTCTTTTTATCATTCGGACTTTTGTTAATAGAAATTAAATCTACTCAATAAGAGACTATATATATATATATATATATATATATATATATATATATATATATATATATATATATATAGGAAGGAAGATACAACCACCTTTTATGAAGAAAGTAAAAGAAGGTTATAGCAGGATCGCCACTGGCTTCTATTCTGAGCCATATCTGATAACGTCTCTAGCCACTGCGTTACACCGTCTCTCGGACCCCAACCAGGGAGTCGTGAAGGACCAACAGAAGCTAGCCCTTTGCAGCTTTCTTTCATACCACGACACCATGTCATATACTGACCACCTCTCCGCTTTTTCCAACCTGTCCCAAAGTCGGCAAATAATGCACGACGAGGAATTCTCTGGGACGACATTCGTAGAACATGTCCAAGCCACCGAAGTCGGTGTTTCAAGATGGTGACACCAATGGAATTATCGTCTCTGTGACCGAACACTCGATACCGAACCTCTGCATTACTAAAATGGTGTCGCCACTGGATGCCAGCAATCCTTCGGAGACAACGATGATCGAACACAGAGAGTCGTCTAACATCCTCAACTCGGAGGGGCCAGGTTTCACAAGCATAGAGCAAAACTGCTCTCACCGTCGCGTTGTAGATCCGACCTTTTACAGCCAGACTAACATCACGAAGGCGCCAAAGGTGGCCCAGATTGGCATAAGCCGCTCTGGCTTTCACTATACGTGCATTGATCTCATCACTCACACCACCACCAGCACTTATGCAGCTACCCAGATACACGAACTTCTCGACTACTTCAATCTGCTCACCATCCAGAGTGAGCACAAGATTGGAATCCTGCCAGTCTTGTAGAAGTGCTTTGCACTTCGAAGGTGCAAAGCACATACCATACCTACGGACACTGATTGCCAACTGATTAAGTGCGGATTGCATGGCTTGAACATTCTCGCACAGTAAGACAATATCATCCGCATACTCAAGGTCGAGAAGTCTTTCTCCAGGCAACAGATCCACACCACCATTACTTACATCCATCAGAGCTGTTTCCAGAATGTCATCGATGGCAAAGTTGAAGAGGAATGGTGAGATTGGGCAACCCTGCCTAACTCCACTGCTTGAATGGAATAGTGGAGAAAGGTGGTTGTATGCCCTCACTCTGACTGAGGTGTTTGTGTATAGGGTATTTAGGATGTTAATAAACTTCTCAGGCACACCCTTCTTCAATAGACAATCCCAGAGAACAGTTCTGTCCAACGAATCAAAGGCAGCCCTGATATCAAGAAACACTACGATTGTTGGCCTTCGATAAGTATGGCGGTGTTCTAACACTTGGCGGAGGGTGAATATATGATCAATACATCCTCGACCAGAACGAAACCCAGCCTGCTCCTCGCGAGTCAATCCTTCTCGGGTTCTGAACAACCTACGAAGTATGACGGAAGCCAATAGCTTGGACGCAATCGGACGTAGACTTATGCCCCGATAGTTGTTACAGGAACAACGTGAACCCTTTTTAAAGATAGGGACAACTATCGACTCATTCCATGACGTTGGTACACTCTCTAGTTCCCAGATCTTTTTAAACAACGTCGTCAGTCCCTTAGTCAGAAAGTCACCACCATCTTTAAAAAGAGCCGGAGGTAAGTCGTCTGGGCCCGGTGATTTGTAACGTTTCAAGAGTTGGAGTTCCTTGCGGACTTCCGCCTCATTTGGTGGATCAGTCGCCACCGGCCATGGAGGGCAGGACAGTCTGACCGATGTTGCCGGAGCAGCAGGCCAGTTGAACTGCCCTTCAAAGAATTCTGCCCATCGTCCAAGACGTCGATGGATGTTAGTGATTGGCGTTCCGTCATTCTCGCAGATTGTTTCGCTCACACCAGACTTCTTGCTGCCAGTGGCTCGGATGAGTTGGAAGAGCTTCCGGTAATTACCAGATGCAGCTGCTGCTTCCAACTCACTGGCACGCTCCGACCACCAGGCTTCTCGGTCCTTACGCAAGCTTTGCCCGATTTCGTTACGTAACATCCTTCGTCTGTGGTCAAACTCACGGTCACCCGGAGTAAACCGACGGGCTTCAATAAGTTGTAAGGAACTAGAAGAAACCCAGTGCCTGTAAGCGGGACGTTTCGCAAACCCACAACTGACTTGACCCGCCATTTTCATGGCGTCATGCAATTGCAACCAATGCTCATCTATACTTTTCGGTGGAATGGTAGCTAGTCTAGAAGCTAGCTCGGTTCGGTACATACTAGCAACAGAAGTTGCAGCCAGCTTGCTAACATCAATCCTGTGGTGGCGGTCACTTCGTTGTCCACTGAAAAGTAAGGTAAGATTGGCGCAGACCAGAGCATGATCAGATTCCAGATAGGTACTCCAAAAGGAGCGGCAGTCTTGTACACAACCGCGCCAGCGGTAGCTAATCGCGACGTGATCAATCTGAGTCCAGGCTTGAGATGCAGAAGGGGGACGCCAGGTGGCACATCGGCGACGACTGTGCCGAAAGTTAGTGCTAGCCAGAAACAGGTTTTACAGAAAGCTTTCCGACCTTCTCCGAAAAGCTAGGCGTTCAGATGTAGTAATAGTGGCTGGTGACTTTAATGCTCAAGTAGGTAAACTAAGCGAAAAGGAAAGACACCTGGGTGGATCTTATGGTGTCGCGGTTCAAAGAACAGATAACGGCGACCGTCTGTTGCAGCTATGCTCAGATAATCGCCTGTTTCTTGCAAACACTAACTTTAAGCATAAGGAAAAACATCTTTTAACATGGCGACCCCCTAATTCGTCTCAACGCTGGACCCAAATAGATCACATCGCTATCAGCCACCGATGGAGGGGCTCGATAGAAGACTGTCGCTCATTCTGGAGCACATGCTTAGACTCAGATCATGCTCTAGTGCGAGCGCGTATTTGTCTACGTCTTACTGGACGTAGGAAAGATGGTGCAAGGAAACCCCTTAGGGTCCTACCTAATGATAGTCAAGCTAAGAGTATATTTCAGGAACATCTAGAAAAACATTTAGGCAGCCATGTAAGTGATGCCCACCCCGAGGCAGCATGGAATGACATCCGAAAAGCTGTAGAAACAGCAGTGATGTCTGCAAGTACGGTAAACCATAAGGTTAGGGAGAAACACTGGATCTCAGCAGCGTCTACCTCACTGATAGATGCTCGAAAACTCATTCCATCTGGCTCTGAACATAACGAAGAGCGGAGTCAGCTTAAGCGTAAGCTGACTAGAAGCCTACGCAAAGATCGTGAACAGTGGTGGGTAGCGAAAGCAAGAGAGATGGAAAAGGCAGCGGCAATAGGTAACAGCAGGCAACTGTTCAGACTTGTTAAGGAAACCGGTATTAGGAACACAACTGTTAGCGAAACAATCGCAGAGAAAGATGGACATATTATTCATTCACTATGCAGGATATTGGATCGATGGGAAAAATACTTTAGGGATCAGTTCAACTGGCCTTCAGCCACACTTCGGTTTCCCACGATCCCCAGTCGACCTGAATGGCAAGTTGATGTAAGTCCTCCGACTCTTTACGAAGTTGAAAAAGCTATAGGAAATCTGAAGCGTGGGAGAGCAGCAGGCCCTGACAGGTTTACTCCTGAGATTTTTAAGGATGGCGGTCCAGTATTAGCAGCGAGATTGACTGAGGTCTTAGGTAGAATCTGGGGACTGGACGTAATCCCATCTGACTGGTCTCAATCACTGATTGTACCAGTCTATAAGAAAGGACAAAAGTCCTCCTGTGACAATCACAGAGGAATTAGTTTGACTAATATAGTGTCTAAAATATTAGCTTCAATAATACTTCGACGTCTAACCAAAGCTCGTGAAGAGCAGACTAGAGAAAACCAGGCTGGTTTTCGACCTGGACGTGGTTGTATTGATCAAATATTCACATTACGTTAGGTCCTAGAACATAGACACACATTTAGACGTCCCACAATGGTAGTATTTCTCGACCTTAAGGCGGCATTTGACTCTGTTGATCGTGAGGTTCTATGGCAATGTTTGTCACTGAAGGGAGTACCAAAGAAGTACGTCAACCTTATAAAGGCTCTCTACTCGAACACAACTGGTCGAGTGAGAGCTTATGGTGAACTGTCATCAGAATTGATTACCTCAAGTGGTGTTCGTCAGGGCTGTCCACTCTCTCCATTCTTGTTTAACTTTGTCGTGGACGCGCTTTTAGAGATGACACTTTCCTCATCTAAATTTCCAGGAGTTGAACTTCTACCGGGAGATCCACTTGTTGACTTAGAATATGCCGATGACATAGTTCTATTTGGTGAAGACGCTGACAAAATGCAGAGTCTGCTGACCATTCTAAGCAACAATGCAGGCATGTTCGGCATGCGATTTTCTCCATCGAAATGCGAGATGTTGCTTCAGGATTGGGTTGCACCGCCACCCAAACTAGTGATAGGGAGTGAAGTAGTTGAGCGTGTCGACCGCTCCACTTATCTCGGAAGTCTCATCAGCCCTTGTGGTTTGGTGTGTGACGAAATCTCAGCACGGATACAAAAGGCTCGACTAGCTTTTGCCAACTTGCGTCATTTGTGGCGTAGGCGAGATATCCGTCTATCAACGAAAGGACGTGTTTACTGCGCAGCAGTTCGTTCCGTCCTACTTTATAGTAGTGAAACATGGCCGGTAAGAGTAGAGGATATTCATAGGTTACTAGTATTTGACCATAGATGTCTTCGAAACATTGCTCGTATATCCTGGGACCACCGAGTAAGTAGCTCAGTTGTTAGGAAACGGGTACTAGGTAAGGATGGAAAATCAATTGAGGAAGTAGTGAAACTCAATCATTTGAGATGACTGGGACATGTGTTGCGCATGCCCGACCACCGACTGCCCCGACGTGAGATGTTTTATGGTGTAGGAGTAGGTTGGAAGAAAGCTAGGGGCGGCCAGACCAAAACATGGTACAAATCCATGAAGTCACTGATAAGTGGACTGAGTCATGTTGGTAGGTGTAGACTACCTGGTTGGGGACCGCGAGACGATAGCAACCGATGGTTAGAGACCTTGAATGACATGGCTCAAAATCGTTTGCAATGGCGCAGGTGCATCCACTCTTTGTGTTCTCTCAAACTCTAATCTTCTGAATTCTTCATGTCCTTTATTTTCTTTCCCAATTTATTCTACTGGACTATACTCCTTTAATAACATCATCAAACCTTAATGTCCCCTATCTCTACTTATACTTTCAGTACCTCTACCACTATGGGATTTGAAACGATAACTGAATCTCTGTGCTAATGTGGTATGGCAACTCGAACTGATGTACGTACGTACGAAGTTCCACGTTGTTACTGACTGACTGACTGGTTGTGGTCTGTGCATAGTTGCAGTAGACGTTCCCCGTTATCTGTCCTGCGACCAACGAGTCCCCATCGGCCACCTAAACGACTCTCTTCTGTGCCTAGACGCCCGACCTGAGCATTCAAGTCTCCAGCTAGTACTACAATATCTGTCGAACGCACTTTCTGGAGAGGAGTTAACTGGTGGTACAACTCATCCTTGATTGCATCTGGGCTGCAATCTGTCGGGGCATAGGCGGAGATGACAAAAAGACATCGTTTCTCACGCCGATTTCTTCTCACTTTGATGGTACTTTCTAATCTAACAGCACATAACCGACTGTTAATGGGGATTCAGTCGATTAGTGCTGCCTCAGCTCTAGCGCTTAGTGCGACACCAACGCCAGCAAGACCAGAAGAAGATGCCACAGTGTCCCCGGATAAACTCACGTAAAAAAAAAATTTGTAGTGCTTCACCAGAGTCTTGAATACGGGTCTCGGATAGACAACACACATCAATATTAAGACTTTCCAAAGACATAGCCAGCCCTATCTGTTGTCCGACCTGCCTAAGTGTACGAACATGAAGGCAGCCAGTTTGAATGGTGCACGTGGTTCCAGAAAAACTGTTTCAGTTCTCGTATTCGGTGGCAACATACAATTTTCAACCAGGCAGTGACTCGAGAACGTTTAGATAAAGCTGAATTTTTACCATAGGCGAGCTGCTGTCTGAGTCGAAACGGATACAAAAAGTAGAAATAGGAGATAGTGAATAAATGACGTAGTAAATAATAATAATAATAATAATACCAGTCATTTTAATGTTAGTCGGAGAGAAACGAACATTTTCCATAAGCAGATAGTTCATCATGGTTTTAGTGTGTGGGCTGAGATACTGCCCGGGTGCCCAAACCGAAGCAGGTGGTTTTCTTAGGGGGCCACACCCCGAGCCTTCGACCTGAACGTCTGACGCACAAGGCAGTGAAGCATCGTAAGGAGATGCAGTCCCATGGTAGCCGGTGACCAACGATTAGTGCATACGCAAATTGTTCCTTCAGGATACTGGAGCCCATGTGCACCATTTGGTTTGGGATCCGGTTATAGCGCCGGAAATTCACTTTTCGTCCTCTCATTTTCGTAAATAACACCCCCGCCATGAGAAGGCAGTGAGTAGGACTTCCCTGGCAGAGGCTATATACGCGTGCAACACCCCCGCCACGAGAAGGCAGTGAGTAGGACTTCCCTGGCAGAGGCTATATACGCATGGCCATGTGAGAGCATTTCGAGAGGGAGAGCGGACTCTCCCCACTCTCGGCCGTACCAGGGCATTTGGGGGCGAATCTCTTACATAGGCTGAATTTATTTAACGCTACACTTATGCACTACTGCTGATGACTAACAACTACATTAAAGACCTCTAAGTCTCCAAACACAGTTATACAATTCCTAATTCCACTGGAAGATTTGAGAGGGAAGTATAGGAAGTTGTAGGTGGGATTTCTTAATTTGCAAACAATGCTTATTAGTTTGTATCCACAGTCTGGGGAATTAAAAGAATAAATTTGGATTTGTATAAGAAGATAATCATATATTGCAGAAACAAATGGACCAATACAAAAGGGTAACTTGGTGAACGTTTTATCTGTAAACCTATATAATTCAATATAACCGTTTAAAAAACTTGAAATTTCGCTTAACTCATTTTTCTACGTAATTTCTTCAAGAAGCCGAAATCTAATCTTATAATTAATCTTAATAAATTAACTGACTCATATACCAGCGTCATTAATCGAAGCATCTAAACCTGAAATTCTAGACTTTATACTATTTGTAAGATTCATTTATAAGGTATTTAAATACCATACGATGATCAATAACATACGAGTCGTATTAATGCTGAGGGCTGATCTGTGGATGAGATAGCATTTCTGATTTAAGAGAAGCACAGAGGTACTTATTTCTTGCTTTTGACGACTGCTGTATCCAGATTCATGAATGAGAAATTAAAAAAGAATTAAAAAAAGTAAAATTTACACACCTTTGTAACACATGGTATTGGCTTAAATGGTTCATGCAATGCCTAATCAGCACACCCGACAGGTATGATGAAATTTCCAAAGTAAGCGAAGTGATTACCGCGTTTACCTACTTTACTCTTGAGAATCAGACTGGATAAAAGACCAGTTCTGGACTATGATTTGGAATTCAAAATGACATAAACGAATCCTGGATATCCTTGTACAGTCACTTAAGCCGTTCATAAGATTATTAATTAAGTCAGTAATCTATTCATCTTTAGGAACATTAAGCAAAAGATAAGGGATTAATAGGGATTTCTGAAAATATATGATTAAGGATTCGAGCATAATATAATTTCACTATCTTTAGTGAAGTGTAGAACAAATCACCATAACTCAGTAAATATCATGCTTACCTATTTCATTAAAATCTTCAAATCGTAGTTTTCCAGAGTCTTCTTTGATGTTGTAGTCCTCCAAAGTTTTTAGAACCTCTTGTTTTTTTAACTCAAATCCAAGTGCTCGAAGTGCAACCTGTAGGAAAAATCATGATACATATCACTGTCATACCTTGAATTCATAATAACTGATTTGTTGGTCTTTATCTGTATCAAAAAGGTCAAATGCTTCAACAATTTCTTGTTTTTGTCCTGCTGTAAGTTCTCTTCGTTTCCGACGTCGAATATTATCTGTAATTCCTGTAAATCAAATGGTAGATATAAACTCAAATAAAACAAAGTAACTGTTTTAAATCAAATGTAAGTTCCAGTGTATTGAAACATTAATGAGAAAAAATCTAAAAAATGTGTGAAAGCTATGTGTAAACCGGAAGCCGGATGACCTGTGTTAATGAACTAAAAGGACTACGAGTTGGCTCGATATTTGAATACACAAAGCCTGAGAAACTGAAATGGGCCATTTTTATTTCAACAGAATACTCTGGTTTGTATTTATGGTAAATATGAACCCCTTCAAAATAATCGTAAAAAACCCATAAAAAGGACGTTTATTTATTTATTTATTTTAACATATAGGTATTAGTACAAAGAGGCACCAAATACATATGCACCACACAAATCTCATTTGATTTGTGTGAGGGCTGTGATACTGCCCGGGTGCCCAAACCGAAGCAGGTGGTTTTCTTAGGGGGCCACACCCCGAGCCTTCGACCTGAACGTCTGACGCACAAGGCAGTGAAGCATCGTAAGGAGATGCAGTCCCATGGTAGCCGGTGACCAACGATTGGTTCATACGCCATTTGTTCCCTCAGGATACTGGAGCCCATGTGCACCATTTGGTTTGGGATCCGGTTATAGCGCCGGAAATTCACTTTTCGTCCTCTCATTTTCGTAAATAACACCCGCGCCATGAGAAGTCAGTGAGTAGGACTTCCCTGGCAGAGGCTATATACGCATGGCCATGTGAGAGCATTTCGAGAGGGAGAGCGGACTCTCCCCACTCTCGGCCGTACCAGGGCATTTGGGGGCTAAAAAGGAGGTAAATCATATTAAACATTATTTATTACTAGCATATTTTATACCAATATTTTAAAGCCAGTACAATACGAGGCTCTGTTTCTGAATATATTATTGATACAGTGGCATTGTACATTCAGTAAAATGTTCTGCCAAAGATGGATGGATCAAAACCGAAAGTGACTGATCGAATAATACTTTAGAAGTAGGTGAAATTAATAACTAAGGTGTTTGTTGATAACTCGAAAGGTCCTAACACAGATTTCTGATTTTTCAGACCTTTTTACGTATTTAGTGCTTCTTTGTCTCCTCTATATTCGCCAAACGGGTGGTTTTCTTTTGTCTCCCTTCTACACACTATTTGTATGTTTATCATCCTCCGACTATTATGCAACTTTAAAATATCTCAAGCCTTTTGCAACTAGCGCGACGATTCGATATTGTATTACAGACCACCAGGCGCAAAATAACTAAAAATACGGTTGTTCAGCTCCAGTAAATGACATCAAAAAGAAAAGTTTCTTCACTGAACTGTATTTATTTTAATTGAGAAATATTTATTTACGAAGCTCGATGAGTCCAAACACCAACATATCAATTAAAATTTTGTCTTTTGGTTATAACTAGAAATATACGAATCAGACGAACAAATGAATAAATAGGTGAAAGTGCAGTCCAGCATAATCAACGACGAACCCAGCATCAAATATACTTCGTGTAATGTTACAGGTCAAGCCCCGATTTGGGAAGTATCAACTGTAATTTTGACTGATGATATGTCCGAATATAAAGCATTTATCCAAGAAATGACAATCTATGGAGGTGTCTAGTCTATAAGCTATTAACAATCAATACGAGAAAGCAGGATGTGAAGATATTATAACTCCTACTGATGGAAAGCGGGGTCATGTAATGGAATGAGGTCTCAAGGAGTAAAAACATACACGCGAAGGATTTTCTCCCGTAATCAAGGATAGACTCATAAGCTCTATTTAGACCTACATTATGGCAACGGTAATATTGAGAGGATGCTCAAACATAAGTAAACAGTGCATATTTTGAACTCGAAAGCGATAACTTCAAGAGTTGCAAATAAAACAAGTTTATTCTGGCTTAAATTAGACTACTTAAGATTTGGAGGAGTCACGGGACTTGAAAACAGCCAAAATCAACAATCAAGGTTTGTAGCTGGTTGAGCATACCGCAAAGGATCCTACCAGGAACTAACCTGGGTGTATATCACGAAGGTTTTAAACAAGAAACCTTTGAGATTTTATGTCACACTCACACGGAATGACATCTACAGCAACCAATTCAAGTTTGATCTATTTGGCAAAATGCTATCAGTTGAATATCTAGCACTACTCTAGTTCGAAAACTCGACAATAGTAATCTCATTTAAAACACAATGGGAGGCATTATTTTAGACGGATTCCGCCACATCAAATAATCTTAGGACGAACCTGAGTCCATCACTAAGATAAACTATATCTTCGAAACTTCCCCAACTTCTGTCAATCTTCAATTTCAAGGTTACTGTCACAGGTTTCGAATAGTACAAATGGTTCTGGATGGAAAGGAAAAAGCTTTCGTCTAACGAAGGTGCATATCTGGTGCCAGTAGTTCACTGATGCTTCTAGTCAATGCCCAAGGTATATTTGACGATAAAAAGAAAAATATCCGTATACTACAATGATATACTATCCTGTGTCCTTTACAATATTTCAAGCATATTCTTGAAGAAGTCACAGGAAGTCACGTGAACCATCTCAGAATTTGAATGCTCATAAAAAGTAAAAGGTTTTCCTACAGTCCATTCTGCTATGTTGTGTCTCCAATTTCTGGTTGCTACACCTAGGTTTTTGTTGGGATTGAGCTTTAGTAAGTTTTAAAGAGGCGGTGTTCAGGTGTGTTCAGGATGCTATAAGTCATAAGAAGTTCAAGTGTGAGATGCCTACGTTGCAATGGGTAACGATTCAGCGATTTGAGGCGTTGATCATAAGGTATGAATTCAAGTTCCTGAACTAATTTCATGATTTGCCTTTGAATACGTTCCGGATGGGTAGCAAACTTCGTCTGCCCAACAGCCATTACTACAGATCGTGGACGCCAGTTTGAATCTGAACTGTTCCGTTGTCTGACCGCAATATTAGGAATCACTCGCTTCCAAACGTTCGCGTACTACCCACAAGCATACTGGTTAGTAAAACGCTTTCACAGACAACTAAAAGCGTCACTATCAGCCTCAATCATTTTTCAGTGGACTGACGCTCTTCCACTCGTCTTACTAGGTATTCGCAATGCAGTGAAAGCTGACATTGGATATACTGCGTCTCATCTCGTTTATGGTACGAACCTTCGACTTCCAGGAGAAATCGTGGATCCTTCATTCTCTTCGATGAACATGGATCTAACCTCCTACATGAACAGGCTTACAAACGCAATGCGTTCAGTTAAACCTGTTTCCATTCGACCGCAATCAACTGATGTTTTCGTTCAGCGTGACTTACAATACAGTACAGTGAGGAAATCCTATTCACATCGATTTTCCTCCAGTACAGTCGCACGATACGACTCCTGCATTTATTATACCTCAACAGAAAGCCTACACACATGTTGATACTTCGACGGTATCAGAAAATAAACTTAAAACAACGCGTTCTGGAAGAAGAGTAAGATTTCCAGAACATTTGAACGATCACCACACGTAAGATACAAGTTGACATTTTATATCGTCTCGATTTTTCTTTGCACCATACATAATTTTTTTAAAAAACAAAATTTAATATGCTTATATGTTTTTATTTTTTAATTCAAAAAAAACAAAACAAAAAAACCATATTATAAATATCTCTTTTTTACGCCTTTACGTGAGCATGTGTTTATTTTCCATTTTTTCGCCCGCTTTGTGTTGTTACGCGCGTACGATTATATTTCGACATGCACTTATATATTTTTTTCTTTTCCAGGACGGATGGAAAAGATCATAAAAAGAACGATGAAGTTTGCGAGTAGCGAAAATCTTTATTGTACTTTTTTTACTATATTGTACTTTATGGTCTCTTATAGTAAGGAAAGACGACCAGACGTTGTTAAACCTAGCAAGCTATCAGAAGAGTGTTTACCAACTAAAAAGTAGTTGGGTTTAAACTTCTGGTTTGCCACGTCTAATGGTCATCACTACCCCACTAGGGGGGAGTGATCTATAGCGGTAAATAATTCCCCAAAATAAATAGCCCTATAAGTTTACGACATTGGATGCTGACCACATTAGTTTTAGTGGACTCATCTAGCTGAAGGCGCTTAGTCATGTATCCGCACCAGATCATGTGTGGGAACGCCGTGCTCAACATCTACTGCAATCGCTAGCCAGATTAGATCAGACGATCCACGATATAATGATAGCCTATCAAATATATCTTCGAACACCCTCGCTCCTGTCTTTTGATTTCACTTGGTGGGTATTTAGAATTATGGTCTACTATGATATTAGCACTGCTCTAATAATAGACCTAATCCTAAAATTGTAGATTTATCATGATGTAACTGCCTAATCTATAAGATCTTACGTGGAAGTTACATCATCGCCTACACCAATTCATTGCATTGTAACAATTACCAATACGTGATAGAGAACAAGCTTAGGCTAGAGATGGAACAATATATTTAATATGAATAAAAGACATAACGTAACATTTAGCACGATGGACCACGCCTGCATGGTTGAGCCATGCCATAAGATTAACTCGTAATAATTCAATTTATTCTCCCCGCCTTCCCCATTCTTCTGTATTTCTCCGCGTTAAATGTTTAATGTCTATTTCTCATATTGTCTCGTGGTAGGGCCCGATGCCACTACAGGTACGCTTCATATTACAAGGTGTTACTAGTTAAAGCGTTGTCAAACTCTAAATACTTGTGACATTTTCATAACATTTAAGTGCATATTTGGTCGGTTCGACGGAGGGACATACCATCTATTCTTCAAAAGTTTCATTCGACCCCATCTAGAGCATGGAAATATCGCATTTTAAACAACATAACCATTAAAAGTACCTAATGTTCAACTTATTTGAAACTGTCAATAATAGATGTTTAAAATGAAGAAAAAGCTAGCCCGTTACATATAAATGGTCTTATGTCATTCTGTAACAACCTTAATAATCTTTTGAATAGAGAATAATTCACTATTACGCTAACTAAATTTTTACCAGTTTACCAAATATGAATTTCGATTTCCGATTCCAAGCAACAAAATTATACAACCGATTAGGGAAATATTGATAAAATCGCAAACTTTTACGGCTGCTATAGACCTTCATAGTCTGAACATTTACATTTCCTGAATTCACAAAGGATGTTTTGACGTATTGTTCCAGGGAATATCCAAGCGGCTTGTGGAAGATAAGCTACACTAGGTGACCTGTAAATGTTTCCACTAGAGAATGGCAGTTCTCCCAAAATAGTTTGTAAGAGAGAAGACTGTAAGTAAAGTTAAAAAACCAATAATCGAAGTTAGTTTATCAATTATGAATTCTTGTTCCAATTAAGAAAGATAATAAATAAATTTCCCATAATATCTGAGATGCTAAGGAGAACTAACTCTTTTTTACATTTTTTTAGATAGCTTTATGTAACAAACCGTAACAAGGTAGTCTGGAAATAAAATATTCCTTTGTAGTCGTAAAACACAGTGACATCAACCTATTTATCAGAATTCCTGCTGTAGGTAATTGTTTTTTTATTTGACTTCATTTAACAGGTACAAAAAATAGATCCAATTATCTACCATTGAATAAGATCGAACTTCTCAGTTTGATATTTTATGAACAGATCTAGCAATTATATATATATGGAGAATAAGAGCTTAGGAGTTTTGTGTTCTCTGAATAAATACCTTAATGTTGTCTGAAGTTGCATGGTTATAATGTTTCGGTCTATGGCTAGCAGTGTCATCAAGCATATTTGTTTCTCCTCGTTTATTTGTTGTCAACTTTGATGCACTTTCATACATGTTGATGCTCAAATTGACACATAACCAACATCCATGTCTTGAAATACCACAGAGTTCTGTCCAAGATTGAGTCAAGATAGTCACCAAATTATTCCACAACCAGACTAAATATTGATAGCCACAGGTGTCTGTATCTTTCTCCGATGATCTCGAGTGACAAAATGATCAGTTTTTGTCTAAGAATTGGATCCCATAAGAATCTGATAATTGATTTTATGACAAAAACATGGCTAAAACTTCTACATCTAGACAAATTTTCAGCGAAGTCCAAACAATAGAGCACACAGCAATCAGTTGTGATAACTAAAGTAGATTTAATGGTACTTCAATATTTAAACGCCAATCTATCAGGTGGTTTGTTGTAGTCCCTTTACCCACAGTTTTTAACAACTAAGTCATAAATTTCATCCTATCTCATCAATCACAGACGGAAGAACTAGGAAACACCATTGTTATCTCTCAAACAAAACAATAAGTACCAGCATCAATAAGCAACAGACTTGTCGTAAGAGAATGGCAGTGAAACAATGATAATGTAATGCATGGATGACATAAAAATGACTGTATGTCATCTCACTCATTATAATAATAATTTAAGTCAAAAGAAGTTTAGGTACTCACCTTTCCACTACCTACAGAACCAATGATACCAATCAACTCACGACCACAAGCCTTAAAATTAATACTGTTCAATGTAATTTGTTTTAAATTCTTTAAAAAGAAGAAAAGAACATAACGTAAAGTAGAATCAAATGAAGGGCAACTTGGCCCAACTGCTCTATTGAATGACTATAAACTAAAGTCTTGATAAAGTTGTATTATTTACATCCTATATTGACAGACTATTGACCCGATTGTCTATTAGGTCGGCTGAAATTCATTGTCTCTCCCCAGCATTCTACTAACCGAATCAGTTGACCTCGGAATTTTGAGCGGTTCAAACGAAAATAATTTACTTATATAAGTCCTTATGGGTCCCAACTGTCGTAGTAAATTTCACGAAGACCATTTTAGGATCGATGAACTATAACCACAAGAAATATGTTTGGCTTACCATAGAAATATTTTTCTACAATTCTAATTGATGTATATCAGAAAATGTGATTGCTTTACCTACGTCTATTGTAGTAGGTTTCTCCTACTGTTTTATGAAATATAACATACTAAATTGATACACAACTATGTCGGATTCTACAAAGGTTGTCTCTACATGTTGTTTAGGCAATCAACAAATCAAACTATTCGAATTCAATACGAATTTCCCTTGACTACGAAGTACATTCAAGATACCTAACAAGCTGCTTGTGTCGAATGAATGTTCATGAATCAGGCAGCGTGTATATAGCTCGCAGGAAAGCTTTCAGTGTTTTTGAATTCCTATCTCTCCTATTACCCATGAATATTCAATTCGTACTGATTGATTATTTTGACTTGTTCATTCTGCCTGAATCACGGAGAGCATTAGAAATTCCCAATCAAGTGCAGATTCCTGTATTTTAATAGTGAAATACACGATACAGTGATGGGTATAGTGATACCAAATAACTTCCAAAACCAATGTAGATAAGGTATGGTATGAACCTTTAATTTACTGGTCAGAAGATGAGTACAATAACCGATGATACAAATACCCAAAGCGTGAGTTATATGAATGGCATTTGGTCAAACATAAGGGCCAATATAGTCACTATTTGATACAATATCGAACTGGCTACTGAATTTGTGTTTTTTGAATCACATGGTATTTTAGTTACCTTTTCATTTGTATTTCGAAAACATTACTAATAGATAATAAAATTTATTTACTCCGAATAAGTGACTTACATTAAGCCATGAAACTTCAGATATACAAATTTCTATTCATCGGAGTATCACAAAAGTATGATTATTGTATCATTATTAACATTCTACCTAATGTTCAACTTATTTGAAACTGTCAATAATAGATGTTTAAAATGAAGAAAAAGCTAGCCCGTTACATATAAATGGTCTTATGTCATTCTGTAACAACCTTAATAATCTTTTGAATAGAGAATAATTCACTATTACGCTAACTAAATTTTTACCAGTTTACCAAATATGAATTTCGATTTCCGATTCCAAGCAACAAAATTATACAACCGATTAGGGAAATATTGATAAAATCGCAAACTTTTACGGCTGCTATAGACCTTCATAGTCTGAACATCTACATTTTCTGAATTCACGTAAAACTTTCAAGTCCTCTGTTTAACTTCTGCTCTTCTGCAAGTAAACGATTAAAAGGTGTATACGAAAAATAACCAAATTAATTCTCTTGGAGACCTTCTAAGATACCTTGATTTTATTTCTTGGCGATACAAACAATTAACCTCACTAGAAATCAATTCAAGGTTTCTGAAATAATCTTGTCTAAACAACTATGAGATGAAATTAACAAAACACTATGGTAAATGTGTAATTAGAAGGCGAGAACCAGCTCACCCAATTGCACTAAAAAAACAAGTGTAGTAATTAATGTCCTCATCATCCGATCAAAAGCATCTTTAGATATTACTTTTGAACAGAATATCTCCTTGAAGAATGATTAGTAAATCAAATGCACAAAATCACCGTGAGGAATTAGAATTTTTGTCGATACGTTTTGCAGATGGACTACAAAATAATAACAGAAAGCTTATCTGTGCATATAAGAAAAGGTTGATAATGGGTTTAAATAATTTCCAGTTCCAAAATCACACTTACATTTTGCCATTGTGAACAGACATTCGTCAGCTCTACAACTTGTTCATTTGAATTATTTACTTCAGGGTAATGATCATTTCCTACTTCAGGCAACAAAAGGAATCGCTTCAAAATAAAAGTAATTAGAATAACAATAGTTAAGTGTTGAAAAAATTGTGTATTCTATCAAGATTATTTGGTTGAGTAACATAAAATGTAATATATACTTGCGACTATTTACATTTCACTCATAAACCAACTATTTGTTTCACTGTATTATCATATAATTCTATGCTGCTATGTTTGAAAATATAGTAAACATTCAAAAGTAATATGAAGTTTCCAATGTTAATAATAAAATAACATGTTTACAAAATCCAAATGAAACAAAAATCGAATTTCTAACATTTTGCAACTATATGTAATTCGCTTCTTATGATGTCGCATAATGAAAGCTAGGAGACTACATAAGCCACATAGCTAATGCCCCTTACGACAACTAGGGCAATAGGAAACTTACGTAAATTGAGTGTCAGAACAACGTGGGGGACCAATTTCATTCCAAAAGCCTCGGAGATCCGAGGATACTACTTGGCTCTTCTTGGAATAAACCGGAATCACTGAATACAATCTGGACAGAGAACTAACTTCAGGAAATCTTTTATTGTCTTTTGGTCATAAAGAAAAAATTGGCTCGCACACACAAGGGGTTTCACTGATGCAATCCAAATAAGCATGAAAAGTGCTTATGAGATGGGAAGCCAACAGCTCAAACATCATCAAAGTATCCTTCAAAACGAAAAAGGAAAGAGCTACAATGAATGCCATTTGTGCTACTCACCATCTAATGATGACAGTGAAGATGATAAAGACTAGCTTGTGAAATAATTCAGCCCGTAATAGAGAACTTGACCATCCTGAAGAGAGACATAAGAACCAAAGTAGTGATATACAACACTGGGTATAAGCTCATCATGAGACTAGAAGGATGATAGCAAGACAACAACAATGATGAACAACTGGTCCTTACAACTACATAGTCGTAGGTACCATTACAAATGTACTCACAAAATTACTTGCGTTTTATAGGGCACACCACCAAAAACCAGACTGACCACATCCACATGCACTAAAGATCCAGAAGACCAAAAGACAGTGCAAGAACAAAGACAGGAGTTGATATAGCTTCAGATTACCATCTGGTGTTGGCCAAGATGAAACTGAATTTTAAGGAGCTTTCGACTGTCAGGCAAGTACCACCACAAGTGTTTTGTACACCTTTCCTGTGCGACACTAATAATCCCAGCCGGTTTGAAATAGATACCGGTAACAAGTTTCAATTCTTATATGATCTGCTAGAAGTAATCACAATGGAGAGTGACTGGAAATGGATTAAAGAAGCAATGATTTAAATATACCAGATCAAGCTGAACCTCGCCTATGTAGAGAGTCTGTGAAAGGTTCAGGAAGGGGAAAACGAGAAAATAGCAGTCAAGAACATCCGTAAAATAGTAGGAGAAGTCAAGGCATAGGCCAAATACAAATAAGCAAACAAACGAGTAGAGAAAAGAATTCGAGCTGACAAGCGGAAATATGCAGAAGACCAAGCAGCTATAGCAGAAAGCGTAACAAGAGAAGTATGAGACAACTATATGATACACCAAATAAGCTTGAAGAGAAATATAGTAAACGACAGTGACCAGTCAGGCACGAAGAGATCAAAACTGGCCATTGAAGTTTAGGAACGGCGGAACAAGTTAGTATAGCACTTTAAAGGGCTTTTGGATAGATCAAAACCAGTGAACTCGTTGGACATTAAAGTAGTGCACAATGACTTCTCTATAAATGATTTCTACCAACTATGGACCTGACATACATGACAATGATCACCAACCAATGATCAAGATTACAGGTACACCTTGCTGACGAATGCCAAGTAGCACGAAACCTAGGTCCAGGGTTTTCTGTTGACTACCTCCAACCACCATCTTATCAACAAGGCCATCAGACAAACAAAAGTTAGGAAAGCGGCAGGACTAGACATCGTAGTAACTGAAGTACTGAAGTTATATAAAAAACAAATTCAAGGACGTTCCACTTTCTCTTAAGAAAACTCTGGGAGGGAGAACAAGTGCAGGTATAATGGAAAGTGGTATACCTTATCAGGATATTGTTTTAAGGAAATCTCAGTATGTATGAGAACTACAGAGAGGTCGCACCAGTGCCAGCGTCAGGTAACATTTTCAACTGAGTGTGGTGGAAATGAATGGGAGATTCAGTAGTCACCTGACTTTGAGATCAACAATTTGACTTACGTCATTACCAGCCACGTACAGTCTAAATCGTGACATTGCAGAACATTATTAAGCTATCGACTGAATGAAATTCATCGCTATAGATCTTTCATTATAGAAAAGCATGAGATGGAGTGAATTGGAAAACCAGTTGACAGCTTAGGAGGAAATAAGAAAAAATGACGGAAATGGACAGGATATATTTTGAGGACAATACTAAACTTCGTCAGAAGACAAGATCTAACTTGAATCCTCAAGGCAAAAAGAACAGAGATAGACCAAAGAACATAATGTGCCGAGAATCGGAGGCAGACATTAAGAGCACGAATAGCACGTTTCAACAAACGAAAAAGGGAACCCAGGACAAAATTGGTTGGAAATCTCTGGTCGGCAACCTATGGCCCGAAACGGTTAAAAGGCCTAAATGTAAATATATGGCTTTTCGGTTACAATACAAAGCGTTTCTCATTGTGACGTTTGAAGTTTCTTTAAAAATCAGGAATCTAATACTAAAATGAAATCCATTTCGTAATTTTAATGATCATACAATTCTAAATGATGGCTTTACGTAAGTAAAATATTTGGTAATAGTCTCACTCATCCATAGGTAAAAGCTGGACAGAACACCTAACGTGAAATACGTTAAAGGCTTGAACATAGTGTCGAATTAATTCATTCAATGTATTGAGCATCTTTAACAAAAACAGAGCTCAAACTTTTTAATCCATTCAGCTTCATCTCACCATGAAATGTTACAATGAGATGGAATCACTAGATTATAACAAAAGCAAACTGTTTAGATAACACTATTTACATTACATTTTGTTACAAGTTTTCAACTTTATACCTCAAGATCACTAGAACACGGTTAATAAACACACTGAGTTATCAAAGTTCATTCTATCGTGTACACATTTTGGTTTCTAATCATATAATGGAATTATTTTAAGCACTGAAACGAGATGTAACTTTTAAACAACAAAACCATTAAAAGTACAGACATTATGGTAACATTTCAGATAAATTCAGTCATATGACCCTAAGTGACTGTAATCATTTGCAAATTCTACTTAGAAATATATAAATAAAGTGCTATTTGAACAACTTTTTGATTAATTATTTGGCATAAATAAAACTTACAGATATACGCTTATCAACAATATGCGCTATATTTATTTGTTCGATTGCTTGTGGCATAGATAATATCACAGAAATAAAAAGCGATGTGATTAAACTCATCAAAGTAAACAGCTGATAACTTTTGAGAGCTTCTGGATCACCTGCTCCTTTATGCAAGAGTAAAATCCCCACTACTAGAACCATCACTGTAAACTTTATTTGATAAATTATCTGACTCAGCCGGAATGCTTGAAAACACCGACCAATCATAAAAAGTTTAATTTCTTTACTAAAAGAGAACATTTGAATAAATCTTTAGGAAATACATTCCTAACTTTGTAAACCAGTCATTTATGTCAAAATAAAGGTGAATATATTAAAGTATAATCTTAAATTATTTCTTTATCCAAACAAAAATGTTCATATTCATCGAATTAACTGGAAAATATAACATAATCTAAGTCTAAATGACAAATGAATTTTACTTTGGGTTTATGTGTGACGATTACAAACATAACATCAACATTATTAGTAAATTAAAGTGGAAAAATTGTTGAAACTTATATCATGACGTCTGAAGATAAGAAAAACACTGGTTCACAACAATATAAATAAACACAACATAGTTTACAAAAGTACTTCAGAACTAAATTATTTGCGATAAACATTAACCTTTGTCATTAGTGATCAAAAGCTTTTAAAGTAGTTCTTACCGACGAAAATAAGAGTTTGATTAAATTGACGGAATTTAAATAAGTATCATGTTTCATATTCTAATTGATATTTGCCTTGACATTGTCAAGCCTACTTCCTGTACACTGTAGTATGTTGTAAAGACAAATCAACGAAATTTCATAAGAAAAAAGTAGTAATCAAATGTTATGAAATGAAATATATTGTAAGCTTTCTCTTAAATTACACATAATATTTTTAGTACATTCGTGTTGCAAAATATTTCCATAATAATACATTAATTTTTAGTTAAAGTATGAACCAACCTCCTCAAACTATGAACTAATTTCGTAAATACATTTTCCCATACATGGAATTTTATAACACGTATACCTGCTATAATGTCTGAAAGAATGCGAATACGTTGATCAGTTACGTCAGCAGCTTTGAATCTAAAATTAAAATCAATGTTTATATCTCTTAATAATATCAGAAATTGAAATCAAATTGTACAAACGCTTCACCTGGAAAACATTTACGAACATATCTATAGAAATAATGAAAATTAATCATCCGTCGACTTAGAGCTATGATGGAATCACCTAGGAAACGACTTGAATCTTTTTATGCTTTATAATAAGTGAAGTCGTCACTCTAAATTTCGTTATTTCTCAGTTTACTGTCAGGTCCTTTGATCAGTTTTAGTTAAAACATTTCACAGGGCATGTTAATCAGTGTTCTTGGCCTTTTACTACCATCAATACAAACTTCACGAACAAAAGAAATGACATACACAACAAGTTACCTAATATACAACTACTCTAACCATCATATATCAAAAACTAAAGCCACTGAAACACATAAATGGCTGCTAAATATTCTAAGGCAAACAGCAAAACATCGAAATTTTGCTGGCATAAGCGTTTGCATTGATATTTTGTTCAACCAAACCACCGGAAGTAATTTTTCCTCAAAATTTGTTTGTGAAGTCTCTTTTATCTAGGGGTTATTTTCTTCACACAATGATATTAATGAGAAAGATACAGAAAACTAGTAAGTGACCGATGAATATCCCCTCTTAACTTAAGCCCCTTTCTCTATCCCCATCCACGATACTACATAGGATCGATTCCAAAGCCTTTACAACTTCAGGTGAGAGGAAAAAATTATTGAGCAATTAATGTCGATCTTAATTTTAAACTTGTATTGCCCACCATGAAACTAAAGTTTTGAGTATTTTTTATTCGTGTCTGTGAACTGTAGAGTAAACTAGGTACATTTTAACCTGTTTTCAGCCACGCTTTTGTGTTAGTCTACTTCTACATACAAAGAATAATGTTGAAATCACGTAGAGACTATATGAGCTGTTATCAAGATACAGATGGCTACTTTTAAAACTTATTGATAAAAACAAGTGAATTTATACCTTGACTTTCCATATGCCCGATTAAAAGCAAACTGAATAGGAATGAACATAAGGATAACTCCCACCGTAATTAAACTTGGGACAAGAGTTATTTGGCTCATTAAGCCAAGAGTTATGAGCGTCTCAACTGGTCCAATCCATAAATAGTGTACGAATAAAAATGTCTGAAAAAAATCATAGAAAATTTGAACCGTAATTTCATTTCATTGTAAAATCAAGATGTACTTAAATTAACCAATTTATGTAGCTATGCATAAGCATACTGTCTACATCCATTGTCACATGCTTCTTCCTGTTATGAAAAAAGTTAATGGTAAATTAATTTTATACAATTCTGTGAATGAATTCGAATAAAGATACCATCGCAGACTTTCTGCGAAGACAAATTTTTAGTTTGTTAATAACTGTTTCATATGGATTACAAGTTCGATACTGCCCCTTGATTTTACATTACAATTTATCATCAATTTAACAGTTTTAGTTATTAAACGCTAAAGCATCTTTGCTTTATAATTACGATGTTTATTTACTAATTATTTCTTATTTAATTTGTATTAGTTGTCGATACAGAATTGTTTACTAAGTTAAATGAAAACAAAGACATTTATTTTTCGTAGATTGAAATGCACTGAAATCCGTGACCTAATGAAGTCAGAGTATCCAATGACATAAATTTCACGGTACCAACAAATTGGTCAAAAGAAGAGTCAGTAAAATTGCATAACAAAAACATAACGAAAGCATGACAAAACCACTAAGTCGGTTTTTCAACAAAATAAAGGAATTTTTTGTGCTGAAACAGTTTACTTGAAGTAAACGTTCAAGGACGTTACGTCATCGTCAGTGTGGAAAACTACCGTATTTTTTCTTAAGTGCTCTGGAATAATCCAACAACCAATGGAGTGCTAACATTGTTTGGGAATTTCTTGACTTATTTTATACCATAGGTACTTGAGAATTCTTTGAAACTAATTAGCTCTGGGTCATGAAAATACTCGGGTAGATGACAAAGACTGTATTGAGCATAGGTGTAAAGCAGAAATTTCAGTAAATTGAAAAATGGCTTCCTTAATATCCATAGATAAAGTAAATGGTTACAGCGAGCAGGAACAGATAACAGAAGAGAGTTCACGAAAACGTTCAATAAAACCCATAAAAAATCATATTTTTATCCTCTTTAACATTTACATATATTTCATACTTGAATATGCCATGACAAATGTAGTAAGCTTAGAATCCATGAGGAACTGCAAGGACAAGTTAAATTTTATTAAAATCTTGGTGGCTCTTTTAAATCTAAAGAGCTGACCGGTTAAAGAAGACTCTTTGCATATATTATCACTGGAAGATGACGAACTTCCAACTTCTATCATATGTACATAAGACCAGTACAAATAACACCATTTATCAAACTACCTGTCGCTGTCACGTCATTTCCTATTTACTGCCATATTTCTAAACGCACTTAAAATGATTTTTAACAGTTGCAGTGGTTTACTAAGATAACATTAAATCAATTCAGTCTGACCAACTTAAATAACCCAGCAGTACAAGAACGTCACGTAAAAATGCAATAGAGTTTTAATACCTGTCCAGTATTTCAATCACAAGATGAAGCGCCAGACCAGCTACAATGCTACTAGTGTGGTGGACGACACATTTTTGGGTCTTTATTCTATGCTCAGCAAATATGATAGAAATCTGTCCACTAATACTATTTCGTTACACAATAAGTAAATGATGTTATAGCAATGAAAAATAGAATGCAGATATCCAAAACCATTCCTTGAAGTTTATTC